CCACCATCACCCGGCTACACCCTTTCTTAATAGAAAATACTATTACATATACATATATGCATATATATATAATATACATATTATGTGTATACATGTGTTTAATATCAATTACAGTGAATGAAACAGACAGCATAATCACTTTACTTAGAAATGAAGTGTTTTGGCTGGAAGTTAGATTAGGGTGTATATAAAGATGTAGCTTCTTTGGAGGTAGGTATGAAGGGAGTTCTTCATGAATGTAATGATCTATGGTAAACCTCCTTTCACAGTTGAAGTTTAACTTGGAGATTTTGAGATAAGACATGCCTTAAATAATGAAGTGATTTTTTTGAGGTTTTTTATCTCCATATTTCACTTACACATTTACTGAAAACAAACCAAATGCCAGACAAGACACAGCTTAGTACTTGATTTCTAATATTTTTAAAGTTGTCGAATGCTCTTTCTTACACATTATCTGTATCTATTTCATTGGCTCCAAATAGCACAAAATAGAAAATATTACCGACTTTAAACACCACTCAACTGACACAAATAATGTTGAACTGACAGTTCAAGATATTGGGTTACAGCCTGGCGATGGTGGCGCACGCCTTTAATCCTAGCACTCGGGAGGCAGAGGCAGGCGGATCTCTGTGAGTTCGAGACCAGCCTGGTCTACAGAGCTAGTTCCAGGACAGGCTCCAAAGCCACAGAGAAACTCTGTCTCGAAAAACCAAAAAACAAACAAACAAACAAAAAAAGATATTGGGTTAGTAAGACACAGCAGAGGATGAAGTCTCTAAGTGCAAACCAACTGTATCTAGTTTTCATTTCCTCCTAATTTAATTTTAGATGGAGATAATATAAATAATAAACATGAACTATGTACAGTCTATTTTGAACAGTGTTAACTTTACATTCTGTTTTTATTGTAGGGATTATTGACACATAGTAACTCCACAGCATGTGGCTCTCAGAGTTGCCCTGAAAGGTAAGCTCCCCACAAGGGAAGGTTTCCTTATCTGTACTTCTTCTTGCTTAGTATCCTTAGTTTCTATGGAAACACAGAGACCAAGCCATTTCCAAGAGATGCTATGAGCTTCTTTTACTTGCTTTTCTAAATGCTATAGTTAATTAAGTTAGTGAAGTTACATAAATTAATGTGGGAATGGTGCAACAGAGACCATTCCCATCCCTCTGGAGAAGATATTTGAGGTAGACTTTGTGATTGTCAGATTACTTTGACAGTTCAAAAGCACTAGAATTGTACATTGTAGAAAATTATTTGGAATATAGTAAAATTGTTTTGCCACTAGTTTTACAAGACAAATATTTAGTCCCAGAAACATGTATGTCTGGAAGGATGTATCTTACATGATAAAACATAAATATACTCAGTGTTAACAGTGCTTGTATTTTATTTTTTTGATGAAAATCATACCCAAAACAAGCAAAATATCTTATGTTCATCAAGGTGATGTAAGGAGGACCAAAAAACCTATAGTTCTACACGTTACAGGTACAAACTGAAGTGCTTGTTATATCATGCTGTCTACAAAGAACCTTTTCCTAGCCTCTGGCGATTGCAGAATTGTTTGACAATGGCACAGTCCAGACCAATTTCTTGATGCAAAATTGTATGTTTTAAATTTATAATTTTTAAAAAAAGGAAAAGTTGAATTGTTTAAGCAACATTCAGAAACGGGTGTCTCATATTAAGGAGTATTGCCCAACTTATCTTAAAACAAATCAGAATGGCTTTGTTCTTGGCATGTAATCCAAGAGAGCAAGACTGAGTCACTGTCAAGAGTGCTCCATTACTAAGAGTGCTCCATTTGTCTGCCTTCCCATCACCTAGTTTTTACTTTTGCTCTCTCTATGTCCTCACCTAGCACTTAAACTCAGCATTCTCACTATGCACAGATAGACAGACAGATGGAATATGGATTCATAACAGTTTGTAAGTGTCACTGGTGAAACAAAGATCTGAGATGCAGTGGTCAAATAGACCATTTAGTTCTCCCTGTAATGTAGAAGGAGCTGTGGGCTGGCCTGTTTTTCATCCTGCCTGGCTCCTGCATGGTTAGCTTTACCCGAAATAACAACACACAAATTGTATTCATTTAAACACTGGTTGGCCCATTATTTCTAGCCCCTTACTGGCTAACTTTCACATCTTGCTAACCCATTTTTGATAATCTGTATAGCACCACGAAGTGGTGGCTTACCGGAAAGGATTCTAGTGTACGTCCATCTTGGGCTGGAGCTTCATTACATCTGCCCCGGAGAGGAGCAGCATGGCATCTGCCTCACTGTAATATCCATCAGCTGTGTGCAAATTCATTGTTGTTTTCTGTTCTCAGAGGTGAACTTAAATCCTTGCTCCAGTATTTGAGAAGATAACCTCAGTTATCTGCTCTGACACCAGTTTTCCATCTTAAAAACTTAAGATGGTCTTGGTGAGCTCTCAATAGATCAGCTCCACTGTCTCAGTGGGTGGGTGCATCCCTCGTGGTCCCGACTTCTTTGCTCATGTTCTCCCTCCTTCTGCTCCTCATTGGGACCTTGGGAGCTCAATCCAGTGCTCCAGTGTGGGTCTCTGTCTCTATCTCCATCCATCACCAGATGAAGGTTCTATGATGATATGCAAGGTATTCATCAGTATTGCTCTAGGATAGGGTCATTTCAGGTTCCCTATTCTCAACTGCCCAAGGAACTAACTGGGGACCTCAGCTTGGGCACCTGGGAGCCCCTCTAGGGTCAGGTCTCTTGCCAACCCTAAAGTGGCTCCCTTAACTAAGAATTGTAGTTCCGTGCTCCCCTTTCCAACCTTCCTTTATCCCAATCCTCCTGTTTTCCCAAGGCCCGACCTCCTTCCCTTCTAACTTTTCTCTCCCCATCTCCCCTTACCCCCATCCCACCCCACCCCCAATTTTCTCCCTGGCAATTTTGTCTACTACAGTCCAGTTCCCCAGCTGGACTGTGACTGAAAAAGCATGGGATAAAACTGGACTCTCTGAACATGGCGAACAATGAGGGCTGCTGAGACGCAAAGGACAATGGCACAGGGGTTTGATCCTACGTAATGTGATGGCTTTGTGGGAGCCTAGCCAGTTTCGATGTTCACCTTCCTAGATATGGACGGAGGTGGGAGGTCCTAGGTCTTACCACAGGGCAGAAAACCCTGACTGCTCTTTGGACTGGAGAGGGAGGGGGAAAGGAGTGGGGGGAGGGGGAGAAAGGTGGGAGGAGGTGGCGTAGGGTGGGAGGAGGGGGAGGGAAATGGGAGGCTGGGAGGAGGTGGAAACTTGTTTTTTTTTCTCCTTTTCTCAATAAAAAAAAAACTTAAGATGGAAATATTGTTTCTGTCATGTCAGCTTGGCTCAGCAATATTACAAATGTAGGCAGGCCTATACCTAGAGAAACAGAGGCAGCTTGTAATGTTCCTCTCTGGAACACTATAGATAAGTTCAACTTTTATAAAGCTACATCAACAATCAAAATGCAATATGAAATAAACTGCTAACTATGTTACAGAATAGGTAGGTATACCTTGAATATATTGTAAATAAAAAGCGTTATTGAAGAATCAGTTAATATATGGTTTCATTTATAGTAAATGTACGGAGAAGTAAGCAATATAAAGACAGTTATTTAATAATTTTTAGAAACAGGGGACTGAGAAAGCCCCAGCCTTTCATTATGGCAAGGTTTCTGTTTGGTACTGATGAAAATATTCTGAATTAGGTAGTAGTAATGATTATACAACCTGGTAGGGACACTTAAAGACACTGAGATGTTCCTGAAGAGTGAATTTTGTGGTATATGAACTATATCAGTGTAGACAAAATTTTTGTCCTGCCTGGTCCCACAGCAGTTCAGTTCCAAACAGACACACAGAGACTTGATATTAATTACATACCATTTGGCCTATTACTCAGGCTTATTACTAACTAGGTCTTAAAATTTAAAGTAACCTAAAAACTTTGTCTATGTTTAGCCATGTGGCTTGGTACCTTTTCTCAGTAAGGCACTTGTATCTTGCTTCCTCTTCACTGACTGGTGACTGACTCTCTCTCTTTCTTCTTCTCAGAATTCTAGTCTAGTCACCCTACCTCTACTTCCTGCCTGGCTACTGGCCAATCAGCATTTTATTAAGCCAATATGAGTGACAAATCTTTAAAGTGTATAAGAGCATTATTCCTCAGAATTTTCCCTTTATTTTCTTTTCAAAAGAGGACCCTGAATATAATCTCCTCTGTTTAGCTTTTTTCCTGACCATTATCCATAACAACTTGTAACCAACATGTTGAATAAACATCCATAACCACATTTTTGAGAATGTGGGTGTAGTTTTCTATTCTACTCCGTGCTTATTGGAGGCATTGATAATCTTATTAGGACCCAAAAATAATTTAGGATTATGGTCAAATCCTGACTGGAGTATTCAGTGAGTCTGAATCATCTCAATCAGCAGTGTTGAAGCTGTTCTGAATGTAGAACTCGGAGGAAACTGTAAAAGAGGTTTTCTAAAATGTTGGATGATCTTGGACATCCAGTCCTTTTGCAGATTTTTCAAGGGGTTTTCCTTGATCAAACCTTATTTTTCTTAACCCAGAATAAATCCACAACCTCACATTTCCTATGGAAACAAAAGCAAAACCTTTTCTCCTAAGTAACATATATATTGACTTAAATTTTGAAGTCAAGGCATTTTCAAAATATAGAGGTTGGATTAATCCCTGAAAATTTATAATCAAATGTCTTTTAGCAGCTGTTGCTCTTTCCTCAGCAGTCAAACAACTAAAGAAAATACAATACCATATAGTATCCAGATTCTATGTTTATTTTCCATCTTTACATGGCTTTTTTTTTCTGTTTTAAATGTCATTTTATTGCAAGATGGTATAACTAATTACAAGTTTAAACTATAACTTGGTAATTTTACTCGGGCAGCAAGTTACTGCAAGTTACTTATTCAAAAGTGATCTTCAGTAAACTCCAGATACACAACAAGGATCAGAAATACCTGACTGGCCAATAGGGTTAAGTCACTAAATAAATGAATCTCGATCATTTCTCAGGAAAGGTACACTGTGATTTCAATAGACAGCAATACAGGAAGAGTTCTTCACACAGACTACTTCCCATTTCTCTCTGGCCATCTCAACTGAGATAGCTCCATTCACATAACTGGCTGAGCTTGAGCCTTCTTAGCAAGCAGCTTTAGATCTGAAATGCATTTGGCAATGGTCTCCTTATCCTGCTGTGCAGAAATGCTCTGCACCACTTGCTTTTCCACCCAGTCTATCATGTGTTCTTGCTCCTTGTGACGCATCATGTTCTGTACAGAAATATGGTAGTCCAGGTGACTTTTTACCTCTTTATATGCTCTATGGAGCCGTCCCCGGTAGGTGAAGGCAATATTATTCCTCTGAACATCGAAGAGGTAGTGGCGCTTCTGAACCAGTGCCTGCTGTGCCTTCTCCATGTCAATTGCATCCTGGATTTGTTTGATGGTTGCTTGCTTTACTTCTTCTAGTTGAGCATTTTTTTCCTCATTAAGTTTATCAAGAAATTCTCCAGTAGAAGCACCGTATTTCTTAATCATATAGACAATCAACCCTACTACTGTTATGGTAGAGAAGGTCTCTGAGGTAATCACATATATTTCTTTGGACAGAAAATACAAGCTAACCCCAGTTCCAAGCACGTAGGGTCCTGTTACACCAGTTTTAGGGTAAAGGAACTGGAAAAATTCTTCAGGAATCAGCCCAAGACATACTTTTCTTCTATATTCAGGAAGAGGTGGTACAGGAGTGAGACGTGGCTGTCCTGTATGAAAGACCCTTGTCGCCTGTATTACCCCTGGTCCCAGGACAACCGCGTTCTTCAGACACGGGGCTGCTGCTGTGGTGGCAGAAAGTACCACCCGGAACAGCATGGTCTGCAAAGGTCCAGGCAGCGGACTTCACTTCCCTGTGACCTTTACATGGCTTTTTAAACTCTATTTCTTTTATTTTTATTTTTAATTTTTTTTTGAGACAATGTTTCTCTGTGTATATTTGGCTGTACTGGATCTAATTTTTTTTATTTATTTATTAAAGATTTCTGTCTCTTCCCCGCCAACGCCTCCCATTTCCCTCCCCTCCCCCAATCAAGTCCCCCTCCCTCATCTGCCAAAGAGCAATCAGGGTTCCCTGCCCTGTGGGAAGTCCAAGGACCACCCACCTCCTTCCAGGTCTAGTAAGGTGAGCATCCTAACTGCCTAGGCTCCCACAAAGCCAGTACGTGCAGTAGGATCAAAAACCCATTGCCATTGTTCTTGAGTTCTCAGTAGTCCTCATTGTCCACTATGTTCAGCGAGTCCGGTTTTATCCCAGGCTTTTTCAGACCCAGGCCAGCTGGCCTTGGTGAGTTCCCAATAGAACATCCCCATTGTCTCAGTGTGTGGGTGCACCCCTCGCAGTCCTGAGTTTCTTGCTCGGGCTCTCTCTCCTTCTGCTGGGATTAAAGGTGTGCACCACCATGACCAGCTACTCTCTTTTTTAAAAGGACTTTCTCTATCCTTTTTCTTTATGCTTCCAAGCCTTATGTATATATTTAAAACACTGTAAACAATTTAGAGGATTTTTCCCCATCTGAATCTGTCTTTACTAGATCTCTCTTTTTTTTTTTTTTCTGAGCACACGAGTCTTTAATCTGCTAAACAGCATAATTCAGATTAAAACTGTGACTTTGGCAGCTAGCTCCACCCCATTTCTTAACTCTCTGAAAGTCTAGCTTCGTGGCAGAGGTAGAGAAAGGAGGCACATTTATTGCCACAAGTCTGTGGAGTTTTTAGGTCCATGCCACTATCAAGAAGCATGTCACTGAGTGCTCATAAACACCATTAAAGTATTTGGTAATAGGGCCCTTTAAAAGTTGTAAGGCTTTTGCTGGTAAAACTGAGTCAAGTAGTCTCTCTTAAAGAAGCCATGCTTCTGCTTTCCTCTTGCAAACAGAGCCTACCTAAGAAAATGCTGCTGCCAAGAAGCCATGCTTGACTCTGTTCTTCTGTATCTAGAATCCCTTCCCAAATTCTCTCAGGTTTTATGTGGATATAATTGCTGAATGTTGGGCATCCTTTTTAGATGGAATTTTCTGTCCCACATTGTTCCACAGTCATTCAGTAGCAAATAAAAACATAGATGATTATATTGATTATATACTGTTTAGCCTATTTCTGATTACTAGGTCTTACAACTTAAATTAAACCATAATTCTAGTCTTTCTTTAGCCTTGTGGCTTGGTATCTTTTCTCAGTAAGGCATTCTCATCTTGCTTCCTCTCTGGCTGGCTGGTGACTAACTCTCTGTCTTTCCTCTTTCCAGAATTCTCCTAGTCTGGTCACCACCTCTACTTCCTGCTTGGCTAATGACCAATCAGCATTTTATTAAACCAATATGAGTCACAAATCTTTGTAGTGTACAATAACATTATTCCACAGCATATCCTTAAGAAAATATACAATGTATATTTTAGATAGACAAATTTTATCTTCAGCTATAAAGATGCAGAAGATCTATAATATAATCAACAAATTCTTTCAAATCAGTAAAGACTAGTTTGCTGAGTGTTCTGAACTGCCTATCCTCCAAAGCCAGAAAGCAAATCCAATTGTTGATTATCAGGATCTGTGGCTTCTTATAAAGTTTATGTATGATGAAGTCATAGTTCAAATGCTTCACCAGTTGCTGATTCTAGCCTTAGTTACCCTGAAACTATGAAATAAGAATAACAATAGTGCTTTTGTAGGTTTGGGAACCATGAATGCTAAAGACTTGCTGTGGTGCCAGGCCCTCTGTAATGAATACTTTTATAATTAATATTATTTGGTTGTAAATATTAGGTTATACCATTAGATTCTTGGCAGTTCGACTATTTCTCTGTTGGTTTTTCTCTTATTGGCATCTTGGCCAGAAAGAAAAGAATGGCTAGAATTTCTGTTAGCGCTTAATGAATTTAATCAGCCCCTGAGGGACTTTTGATATAGCAGAGAGATATTTAACAAGAAGCAGAATTTGTATTCCTTCTGTGTTTCTCTTCATAGCTGGCAGAGACTTCCCTAGTAGAGGCAAGGTTACCTGTGCTGAGAGATACGTTAACATACCATGAGAGAATGTTAAAACTCAGAAAACACATCCCCATGGCCTTGTGTTTCTGTGCTTGTTCTAACTAATGCAATTTAGGCTACTTCCAATAAGAAAACAAGCCACTGTCTCATAATGTGCAATATTCCCTAGTCTATTGTTTTATGTTGTTGTTATTGCTGTTGTTTTGTTTTCTGAGAGACAGTTTCTCTGTGTGGCCCTGTCTATCCTGTAACTCACTCTGTAGACCAAGTTGGTCTCAAACTCAGAAATCCATTTACCTCTGACTTTTGAGTACTGGGATTAAAGGTGTATGGCACCACTTCCCTGCTAAGAAATGAGCCATTGTGGATTTGTTGTTGTTGTTGTTGTTGTTATTTATAAATTTTCCTTTCAGGAAATATTTTAAATATATTTTAAAAAATATTTTTCCTTTAGAAATAAAGATGAAAAATCCATAAATGGTTGTATTGCACTGTATTGCATATATGTATTCCAAGATGCATATAAAAATATTACAAATAATGAGTAGAAATTGTTAATCATAGTCACAAAAAATAAATAGTTGGATTGTATTACTTGGTCAAGTTTCTGTTTTATACTTTTCCTTATAGATAATAATAAGGATGATGCTATGTTGCTTTGAAACAATATTACGAGACTTTGGATAATGGATTTTCTCTACAGTGATCTTCATGAAGTCAGTATACTAGAATCTATAATAAGATTGATGATGTTATGAGAAATAAAATAGCTAAGTTCCCTGGATGGTTGAGCATGAAAATATTTGAAAGAAAGTGATAGCATACAAACAAAATTAAAATAATGGCAATTATTTTCTCTTTAAAAGCGTCAATAGAATGCAATGGTAAACAGAGTTATGGTGAAGTAACCTGACTTTTGATTTACAACTTACCATGAGTGGACTTCAACCATTTCTAATATGATAAATTAATGTTTTTTCGTTATTCTGTGACTCATTTCTTCTCAATAATTCTAATTATTTTTTCTTTTTTGATTTCTTGAGACAAGGTTTCTCTGTGTAGCTTTGGAGCCTGTCCTTGAACTCTGTAGACCAGGCTGTCCTCGAACTCACATAGATCTAATTGCCTATACCTTCAGAGTGCTAACATTAAAAGGTGTGTGCCACCACTGCCCAATAATTCTAAATTAAAAAGATTCGTTTTGCTTATTTGGGTATGTGTATCAGTCCATGTGCAAGTGTGTGTATATATTTGTGTGGGCCAACATAGAGGGCAGCACAGGGTCTCAGAATTGGAGAGGGAACTATTGCTGAGATAAACAACATGACCAAAAACAAGTTGGGGAGGGAAGGGTTTATTCTGCTTATACTTTTGTATCTCCATTCATTACCTAAGGAAGTCAGGGCAGGAAATCAAATAGGACTGGAACCTTGAGGCAGACGCTGATGCAGATTCCATGGAGCGTGCTACTTACTGGCTAGGTCTCCAATGCCTGTTCAGCCTGTTCTTTTATAAAGCCCAGAACCCCCAGTACATGAAGGATAACAGCCGCAGTGGCCTGGGCTGTCTCTCATTGATCACTAATTAAAAAAAAAATGCCTTATAACCTTATTTTATGGAGGAATTTTCTTATTTGAGGTTCCCTCTTTTCAGGTAACTCTAGCTTGTGTTTATTCGAGACAGTAGGCTTCCACACAATATCATCTTAATAGAAACATTTTAACAGTGTTTGCTAATATGATCTACAAACTTGTAGCTGTAGCATAAAGAATAAAAACCCAGAGACAGATAATGGGATTCAGGCTGAAGATCAGAAAAGCAAAGTAGCCAAACCATGAAGAGAGCTCTTACCTCTATGAAATCTTCAGTCTGAAAAGTAGCGAGTTCCTGTCTCATCCCATTTTATATTCCTCTCTAGTGATGGTGTCAAAAGCATGCACCACGACTGCCTGGCCTCTGTGGTTCACTAGTGTGGTTGCTGTGATTAAAGATATGTGCCACGACTGTCTGATTGGATGGCTGACTAGTGTGGCTAGCTTTGCACTCTGACCTTCAGCCAAGCTTTATTTGTTAGACCATGGACAAAGCATCACTATATTTAGCTACACCGCTCCTCAACATTCAAAGTTATCACTGAATAAATAACTTTTTAGTTCAGCTTTCTTTTCTAGTTATTGAATGTTTAATTGTCTTGCTTTTCCTATGCATTTCCCAGATTATGTTTAATTGTTTTTAATAATGTGCTTTCTTTGAGTTTCAGTTCTTGGGTGCATTATTTTTGGTTTTTCTGTTTGGTTGGTTTGTTGCTTTTTGTTCTTTTGATTTTTTTTGGGGGGGGGGGGCAGGGTGTCTCTGTGTAGTACTGGTTATCCTAGAACTTACTCCATAGACCAGGCTGGCCTTGACCTCAGAAATTCACTTGTTGCTGCTTCCTGAGGGTTGGGTTAAAGGTATGTGACACCATGCCCAGCTGAATTTCAGTTGTTTTTTGTTCAAAATACCTATTAATTATTTATTTCAGTGCATGCTATTAAATGTAACCTTCTGTACTGTTTATCATTGAATGTGATCATTGCCATTATTTTTGGATAATATTAAGATAGTTTTGGAATTTCTATGTGGCACCAATTTTCTACTCAATATATTTCATGAGTTATTATATTACTATAATAATATAATATATTATATTCTACCCTTTGTTAGCACAGAAAATGAGGCTTGCTATTTGATAAAATTATGTTTTCTAGTATGATCTGCCCTTTCCATCCATTAGCTTTTGGGATTCTTCTCTGTAAGATTGAGATCTGCTTCTTTTTATGGTTTGTTGA